ACAAGAAGCAGAGGAGGTGGTATCTCTTGTGAAGATAGCATTTGCATCCTTGAATCCCAGTCTGCAGTGTCGACCAACGATGAAGAAATTTTCTCAGCTCCTCTCATCAACTCAGAGGCTGCATTTGTCAAAGCCATTGCATATGACAACATTTGGTGAATTGCTTGCTCTTGATGGTTTCGCTACCTGATTAGGATATGTGCTGCTTTCTCCGTATTTCACTTCATTTGTGTCTGCCTTGTTCTAATAGTGTCATCATGCATTTTTGGTATCAGAGAATTCATAGGATTAGGTCCCAACATCACACTTGAGCAACAGATCTATGCTCTGAATGGTACTTTGATTACCGTATCTGAACATGATACAAAAATAAGATGATCCTGTTTAATAAAATATATTGTAGTGATGAACCTTCAACTCTTCTTTTTTCTTTTTCGGTTTGATTTCCTTATTTTGTTTGTTGTGAAACTAGTTCTGAAAAAATCATTTAAACCCTCTAGTCCGACCCTCACAACCAACTGACTCTTGCATTCAGTGCGGACCCAGTCCGAGTCTCAAAATTCACTAAAAATTCATCCTAAACTCCAAAAAATTCAGCAAAAAATGCTACGGAAACATGCATTTTCTTGTTATAACCTCAAATTCATAATTTAACCCAATAAAATTTTATTTCCAAGTTTCTCATAAAACCAAAAATTGAAAACGATTATCAAACAACTTATAAACAATTTTCAATTAATCTTTTATTTGAAAATTGAAAACAATTACCAAACGAGGTTCATATTTTTAATTTTTTTTTTATAAATAAAAATTAAAAGCTATAAAATAGTTATCAAACTGGCCCTTAGAATGTCACAAATGTTAAATCAAAATTTTGAACAAGAAATTGGAGTAAAATGTATACAACTATCATTACTTTGAAACTTCAATTCTTCACGTTCATGATGAATATAGATCGTAATAGAAAGAAAGAAAATAGGATGGTAATCAGTGGCGTCGATGAAAATTACATTGACGAGTTATTCTTCTTCCGATTTGTTGGGTACAGCCAGAGTGAATTAATTTTTCCACTAAAACAAAACAAGAAGCATGCTTTGCTTGACAGGACTACCATTTGCTGTCTTGCAAGCGCACTTCCAGTTAAGCATGCTCTGAGAAAATGCTTAGATAAGGGACAAAGACTTCCACTCAGGCTAATCACTTCTGGAATGCTCATGAAATCAGGTCATATAAGCCACAAGTTAGCTCATAATAAATTCATCCGGGACTAAATTCCTGGATAAAAATGCAGATAATGACACAAATAGTGGGTGAAAGTCAAAGCGCTTGAATCAAAATTTAGAATGTCACAAATGTTATCAAAATTTGGAAATATTTTTATTTACCACTTTAACTCAAGGTATATTCTAACCACTATTCTCAACACTTGACACGTATCTATGAGCATAACCATAGTTAACCCTTTGATTTGTATTTGTGGAACCATGATTATACCCATAGACACATGTCAAATGTTGAGAAGTGTACTGATGATACACCTTAATTTAAAGTGGTGAGCAAAAATGCACCCATCAAAATTTAGGAAATGTGACTAAAATGTATACAACTATCATTACTTTGAAAATTATTCTTCACGTGATGATTTAGGTCAGAAAGAAAGAAGAAAAAAAAAAGGATGGAAATGAATGGCGTGGATGAAATTACATTGACGAGTTATATAAATTGGCGTATTTCCTTTTGTTTTTTTCCCTTGATGGTCCAAACTCAAAATTACATAGAAAAATGAAATTTGGATTTGCAATAGGTTCTGCTTTTTTCGTGGAAGGCTCATGATTTGCTTTTGACTTGGAGATAAGCAGCCAAAGAAATGGAATAGGAAATTGGACTAAAATGTATACCGCGGGACATATCAAGCATGAACATTTTCCTGGATTCTGAATATGAGGCCTATGTTTCGGACTTTGGGACTGCTAACTATTTGGCCTATGCTGGGTACAGCCAAAGAACACTGGAGGAACATTGTCCTGGCTCATGCTTTAACAAGGGTGCTTTGTTATTTAGAAATGTTTTTCCTTGTGAGAGGGAAATAACAAATGAAACAATAATTTCATTGGCCAATGCCATGGTTTAACGTTTTGCATGTGTAATGTGTTTTCGGTTCTAGCCACAGTAGAGGAAGGAAGTCAGTGGGAGTTTTCTTTGGCTTTGTGAGAGAGATGTGCAAGTTTGTGAGTTTGGGTTCTTCCCCCATAACTTTTCACTGATCGGTTTTTTATGTTTTTCCAAAGACTCTTCACTGTTCTTTACTCATTACTCCTTGATGGCATGTTTATTAATCCGTAATTAGATTAGGATGAATTGAATTGAAAATGAGCTGGATTGAGGAGAATTAGATTCCAGATTCCTATTCAAGTTGTTTACTAAACCATATGGATTGAGGGAAGTTAGATTTTGAATTTCTATTGAAGTTGTTTACTAAACCATATGGAATTGGGGTAGGAGTGATTCTAATTACTAAAATGTCCTCATTGTTGGGTTAAAGTATATGACAAAAATTTTAAAATTTTAAAATTGTGTGAGGATATAATGGGTAAAAAGATAAATTTCTAATAGGTTTGTTATCTAGGAATTAGAATATCACTTCCCACCTAAGAATTGAATTC